CAGTCGCCTTCTCGGTCAACGTGCTTGGCCTTTTGTGACTTCGGTTCAAAGCTGGTCTGAGAAAAGTTCCCCGCGGCGATTACCTTCCCTGCTGGAGATGGCTTCTTACTGTCACCCCAGAAGCCCACGTGGCTCCCAGGCTCAGGTGGATCGTCCACGCTTCTGCAAGATGGATGGGAGGGATGACAACTACCTTGTGTTCACATTCCAGCCTTAGTCTTTTGGTGGCTTTTTCCTGGAACACTGTTGAGAGGGATTCTGAGGCCGTATCCATGAACAGGAGGGAATGGTGCTGTGTTTGATGAGCAGTGTCTGCCATGGCATGGGACAGGAGTGAGGCACACGTCCTGGGCATTGGCCGTTCTACCAGAAAGGTCTAGGATCCAGCTGAGGGCTGGGCTCTGACTTGTTGCTAGGGCTGCTGTAGCTTACTCACCTGTGCTGGGAGTCACTGGCTTAGGGTGGGCTCTCTGGATATCAGTAAAGGCAGGTCCTCATCAGGTTAAGAGTATTTATGCCTCAGTGTGTTTCTGGTGCCCTATAAATGTATGAAGGGAAAAGGCCCTTGTTTGTAGCCCGTGTGTCTGGAACATCCTGCCAGTTCTGAAGATGGCTGCTGTTCACTTACCTGGAAGGGCGGCGGCGGGAGTTACATTCAGCAGGGAGCATCCACATTCCTATCTGGCACCTTATGTGGCCTCATACTTAGGACACAAGTGGCCTGGTTTGGGGGTCGATTCTGCAACTATGAAATCAAAGGAAGCAATAACTGGTACACACCAGGATGGAGCCACAGGCCCCGGAGTGATCTGGGTGCAGGCTGTGATATCCCTGGCTACAGCAGGGAGTGGAATGATGCTTTCTTGCAGGAAGTGTTCATTCTCTGATGCATTATTGAGGCTGCAGAGTTTGGAATCTGGGTGTCCTGGGTTGGCATTACCCCTTGGGGACCTGTGTGGGTCTCCTGCTCCCTCCACCTGTCTCAGACTCCAGTGTTTGAGCAGAGGGTATGGCACTGTGGGGGGGGGGGGGGGGGCCGGGCCATCTGCTTCACCCTACCC